ACCAAAAAGTCCAGTTGCCTCTTGGAAAAAAAGCCCCTTTGGGACAACCATGACCCGGATGACTGAGAATCTCCATAGACATGCAGCCTTAAGTCTCCACTGCAAAGGTGAACTCCTTCTCAATCAGCTTATCATAGAATTGATCAGCTCTAAATCTATTGAGCAGGCCTCATTCCTATAGGTGGCATCCAGAGATAATCCAGAGAACTTCGCACCCGCAGAATTCCCTCCCCCATTTAACCTTTAAAAGATTTGTTTATTTTTTTTTTAGAAATAAATAAATAAATGGGAAGCTATTGTGCTGTAAAGCAAAGCAGCAGTTTCAAGAATAAGCCGCCCAGGTAGTCCTCAAGTTACGATCACAATTGAGCCCAAAACCGTTGTTGCTAAGTGAAACATTTGTTAAGTGAATTTTGCCCTATCTTACAACTTTTCTTGCCACCGTTGTTAAGGGAATCTCTTCAGTTGTTAAATTAGTAACCCGGTTATTAAGTGAATCTGGCTTTTCCACCCTCCCCATTGACCATGCTTGTCAGACGATCGCAAAAGCTGATCACATGACCCCAGGACATTGCAGCCCACATACCTAAGAACCAGTCTGAATGTTGATCACGTGACTGTAGGGATGCTGCATGAAAAACAGCCAGGTCACTTTTTTCAGCCCCCTTTGTAACTTTGAAACGGTTACTAAATGAACTGTTCTGGAAGTCAAGGACTACCTGAATTTCCATGATGCCTGAGTGCCCCCAGAATCCTTCTTAGAAAATGAAATAGTGTCTGGTTGCTGCCCAGGCTGATGTTCATCTGACCCATGTTGGATGACTTGCTCTCAAAATCCCAAATGTGCCCATCAAAAAAGACTTAAGAGCCCAGAGAAGGAGTAGCTTGCCTAAAAGCTATGCAGTCTGCTTTGTGACTGAGGAAAATGTGACCTTTCAGTTTATCAAAGGCAAGGCAAGGTAGTCCTCGACTTACAACAGTTTGTTTAGCAACCTTCGAAGTTACAACAGCACTGAAAAAAGTGACTTATGAGCATTTTTTATCCCCATGGTCATGCAATTTACCTTCGGATGCTGGACAACTGGCTCACATTTATGACCGTCGCTGTGTCCCAAGGTCATGTGATCACCGCACGGCAACGGGGAAGCCAAGTTCACTTAACAACCAGGTTACTAATTTAACAACTGCAGTGATTCACTTAACAGACGCGGCAAGAAAAGTCGTAAAAATGGGGCAAAATTCCCTTTTCTCACTTAGCAATATAAATTCTGTGCTCATTTGTGGTCGTAAGTGGAGGACTACCTGTATATGTGACTGTGGGTAAATGAAAAAGCATTTTTCAAACCCTCATTGATTACTTTTCCACCTAAGAAATGTAAAACTCGTCTTAATGCACCACTATGATAAACAGGTTAGTTCAGGTTACAGCTTTTCAGAGGTGGGGCAGATATGGAGGTTGTACTTTTTCACTTTATGTGCCAACTTTTTATGTTTGTGTCCTGGAAAGCTGGAAAAAACAATAAATCTGCAGTATTACATTAGATCATCCGAAGGAATAAACTACAACAAATGGAGGCGTTAATGTTGGTAACCATAATCTCCCCCACCTTGAAATATATAATTTATTTTGTTAGGAGGGGGCCTCTTAGGCCATGAAATCAAAACTTCTGTTTGTTGTTGGAATCCAGATTTAAACTATCTATGTGTTTATCCAATGAGGAGATAGAGAAGTCCTCCTATGTTGTGACACTGCATTTTTCAGGAAACTTCTCCAAAAAGGCAGCCAAAATCTGCCTTTTTACACATATAAGGTGAATATAGCTGTCCAGGGATAATGTTGCAGGATCCAATCTGGATCAGTCTCCAGGACCAGAGGTTTGGTCTTCCGAGTTTTCAGATTCAAAACCTTGAATCCGAAAGCTCGGAAGACAAACCCTCTGGTCCCGGCAACCGGCCCAGACTGGATCCTGCAGAATCTGCCTTCCTGGAATTGTTTAATACATCCATTATTGTATTTCAGAAAGACTTGTCGACTTCAACTCCCAGAATTCCTGAGCCAACATGACTGGAGGAGGAATTCTGGGAATTGAAGTCCACAAGTCTTAAAGCTGTCAAGGTTGGAGACCTCTGTTCTAGAGTCTTGTTTTAATAGGAGCTCTTCGCTGTGGCGTTTCTTCGGGTACAGTCTAATATACAAAGTATAATATACAAAGTCTGCATATATATTGGTCACTCCTGTACAAACTTCGCTGGGACCAAAGGAAGTTTACTGTACTGTATTCCACAGCGGGCAGCGAATTCCCGAGACATCCTTGCGCTTCCTTCGCCAAATGGCGCCACAGTCCGCCTCCCCAACACGTCTGGCTAACGCTTTGCTCTGCCTGTGTGGGTTGGGGGGGCGTCCGGGGAAAGAAAGGGGAGCGCTCCGCTCGGCGGAAAAATCGGGAAGGAAGGAGGGTCGCCGAGGAGCTGCTGCTGCTGCTTCTCTTTCCAGCCACGGCGGCTTCGGTTCTGCTTACCCAGCCGGTCGACTCCATGGCAGCGATTCCTCCGCAGGTAAGACCGGAGGGCGGAATAAGCCGAAGGAGCTTCGCAGGTTCCTCTCGCCCCGCGACCCGGTTTTGTGAGAGCTCGACGCGCCTCTCACGCTTCTCGCAGCTTCGCCTGCTCCGAAGGACAAAGGGCGCCTCGGGCTTGGCTCGAGTTCCGCGATTGCGACACCCGCCCGTTCGTGGCTTTCTCTTAGGACGCGCACCTGCTCTGGGAAGGCATGGGGGATGCCCAAAGGTGGACACCCACTGGATGGCTGAGGGGAGAGGGTGGCCCTTGTTGGTAGCCCTGAAGGCCACCGGCCGTGGGACAGGCAGTCCCTGAGGGTTCCCCACCCCACCCCCTTGGATAATGCCCTTCTTCATTCACTTAATGATATTGGGTGTATATATATTGGGATAGAGTCTTTCCACTCCAGTTTTTACTCCTCCTCCTCAGTGCCTTAATATGATGAAAATTTATATTTTCAGTGAGATTGATCAGAGAAGACTCTCCGAGCCACAAAGAAAAGCTGTTGTGTAAAGCAACAACTGGGCAGGATTGCAACACCGACTCATGCTTTGCTTTAGGTAGTCCTTGCCTTACAACCCAAAATTTCTGTTGTTAAGTGAGACATTTGTTAAGTGAGTTCCCTCCCCCCGGTTTTATGACCTTTCTTGCTGCGGTTGTTAAGTGAATCGCCACAGTTGATAAATTAGTAAAATGGTTGTTAAGTGAATCTGGATTTCCCCATTGATTTTACTTGCCAAAAGTTTGCAGAAGGCGATCACATGAACTTGGGACACAGGAACGGTCATAAGTTTGAGTTGGTTGTCAAGCACCTGAATTTTGATCACATGATCGTGGGGATGCTACAAAGGTCATAAGTGTGAAAAACGGTCATAAGTCACTATTTCCAGGGCCGTTGTAACTGGTCACTAAATGAACTGTTGTAAGTCGAGGACGGGTGGAATTGGGGTCCTCAGGGGTTTGGGAGAGCCCCTAGCTAAGATTCTGTGCAGTTCAGGGAACCCCCAAATCCCACTCCTGGCTGGCCCCACCCCACCCCACCCCACCCGCCCCTCCCAGGAGTCCCCACAAGGCCCATTTTGGATGCAGGTAAGTGCAGGGCGCATGCGGAGGCTCAGGAAGGACAAAAAACGGGTCTCCCGCAAGTTTGGGAAGGCCGGAAATGGGCCCGTTTCCGGCTTCCAGAGAGTCTTCGGGCCCAGAGAGGCTATTTTTGCTCTCCTGAAAGCTCAAGGAAAGCCTCTGTAGCCCAGGGAGGGCAAAAACGCCCCCCACCACCACCATGGCCAGGTCCACCCAGCAACCGGGCAGAGAATCCATTGCTAAAAATTTTGAAGCCCACCCCTGGTCGAGGACTACCTGTGCTCTCTTAATTTAGACAGAAGAGCCGCTGGATTCAAATACCCGAAGACAGCTAGTGTGCTGCCTTTTTCTGTAGGATTCTCTGAGGTTTTTTAGGTATCTGGTTTCTGGGGTTCTTTGGTTGGACAAGGAATGACTATAGAAATACTTTGTGCCTTGCATCACTCTTGGATGTAAAACTGTGAATAGAAAGTTGGGGTATAAGTCCAGTTTAATAAACTGAGTTTAGTTCACATTTTAACAGGTAGGCGGACCCTTAGGGATGCATTAGAGAGTTGGGCCAATAGAAAGAAGAGAAATAGAGGGCTGGACAGCAACCTGGGCTGAGCTTAAAAAAAATCTAAGAACTCTCAGTCTTTATTTGGAAAAGACATCAGTGGAAAATCAACATGTCATTGTCTTTTGTTAGAGGAAAGCAGCGGGCAAGTGTGGAAAGCTTTATTTGTGCATTCATTGGATTAGGTTGTGTGTGCACAATCATCCTCTATCCCGCTTCCCCTGCTGCCCCTGCTGGTCCAAGGACACTAAAAGATTGGGACCGCTGCCTTAGAGCATCATTTGAAAATATATGGCAAGCATTTCAATTAGAAGTCTTTGTATATCCCTTTATTTGCAACATTCATAAGTATGATGGTGAAAAACCTATACAGCTGTATAATTTTCATCAGGAGGCTGGACATTGTTGATCTAATGTGTAAATAATAATACAATCACATACATTTCTTGCCTCACAATCAGTAGTGCTGCTACATCCTTAACTTTTGTCCTTTTTTCTCCTCCCTTCATTTTTTTCCTTTATGGAAAAAAATATATATTCATCTATATGATAAAGTTACTGTAAAAACAAGGTGCACTCTATTTTTTTTTTAAAGTTAGAACTCCTAACATATTCAGTGATTTTACTACTGCTATCTGAATAATTCTTAATGCATATAGAAATTTGAATGTAAGCACACAATTAAGACAGTACTTATAGATGAATATTCCAGTATGAAAATAGAACAGTTACAGCTTTTTCTCTTTTTTCCCCTTTTTGACCAATGTAGCTCACACATCTAGGGGTCAGATACATGAACTAAGGAATGCTCTTCAGAATTGTGCCTTTATTTAGTTGTCTTCTCCAAAGGTCTTCATACCATACTTGATGAATCTGCAAAAATAAAGAAAGAAGCAATGACTGTAGGCCAATCAAAAGCTGATCCGCATTAAATTACAACAAAGGAATGATTATGAAATGCTTAAGCTTTTTGGGAATATATTTAATTAAAGATTAACATTGACTGCAATTATTTTGATAAGATTCTAGAAACCCATTGCTAGCAGATGGCAACATCTCATCACAGCGCCAGTGTGAGAAACACCTGCCATGTCTCTTGGGATCGTAGCCCAACTCCACTGTTAATGCAGAGACAGCCAGACCAACTGGAAGAAATGAGCTCTGACTAAAAAAAAAATTAATCTGAAAATAAAATTGCAGGAGCTGGTAAAGAAAAGACTTCTCAAGATCCAGACTACTTCTTGCAGTTTAAGGATCTCTGCATAAACATGCAAAGGAACCCTAAAAAGATGTTGTCTTTTGCTTCCATGTAATCTCAACCACAGTCCAATATACAGAACCACACATGCAGAAAAATGTAGAAATCATTAAACCAGATTGCTCAACACAGGTCACAGGTAACTTACAAAAGAACCCTTGCAAAATTAACAACTTGAAAGCAAATATAGCTGGAAGGGCTTTGGGCTTTTTGAAAGCATGAATTATCTTTCTCTTCAGTTAACTAATATGAAGCAACCCTTCCCCACAAGCCCCACCCGCTCTTTCTAGTGAGAGCCCTGACAATTTGATAAATTTCCCTTGGGGTTTTGTCAGGTCAGAGGTGGGAGTAACTTTGCTCCCAGGGACTGCAGATTATAAACTTGCTGTCTTGGTTCTGAAGAATGCTTTCCTAAATCAGATGCAAAGGCATTTTGGGTAGTGCAGGAGTAGACAACAGTAAATAGTTCTGTCATCTCTTACAAAAATTTGATTGGAATAATTTATTGGTAATTGTGTTTGTATTTCCCATGGTGGCTTCTACAGTTAGTTGAATTTTAAAGGGCTGGAGCAGTATTACTTGATTGACTGAACAGAATTACACTGAGATTGTTTCTGCCCTCTCTGATATATGGAAAGGGCAGCTGTCAGTCTGTAACAGTTTTGTGCAAGTCCCTACAGATTAAGCACAAGAAGAAAATCCAGATCAAAGTTGAAGAGCTGTTGTTAAAATGAATATAAGCGCCTACTATTTTTTCCATATATGTATTGACTGATCCAATCAGCAAAAGCAGCAACATTTGTATAGACTCCTGGATAGCCTTTTCTTCCACAACCAAAGCCCCAGCTAATTATTCCATTAAGGGTGTAGTAGCTTGAGTCTTTTGTAGGACAAACCAGTGGACCTCCGGAATCACCCTAGTGAAAAGCAATACAGATTATGTTAGTGGACGTTCTGATTTTTGCAGCCAACTTTGTAGCTAGTACATAACCTCTATTAGATATGGAACTTTTTGTTGGGTACAAAACATTAACAGAAGTAAATTTATATCTGTGAAAGAATTCTGTTGTCATTATCTTAGTATAAGTACAACTTCAGAATTTGTGAAATGCATATACTCCATAGGCAGCTTACTGTACATCCATCCTTTCCCCCTTCTGCAGGAAATCCAGCACAGAACATCCTTTCATTGACCACACCAGGATGGTTCACAAAGTATTTCTGACATTCTTCAGAAACCAAAATAGGAACTCTGAGTTGATGCAGTTTACTTGACTGTGCTCTATCTTGAGGGGAAAGGAAGAAAACAAATTGTTTACAATGGAGAAAGCAATAAGGAGGGCCTTAATCTTTAAAAGGAAGATAGCAACTTGTGATATTCAATCTGATTTCATAGAACCCTTGGTCTAATTTAAAAATCCCTCTATGAAATCACTTGGGACATCTAGCAAGAGTGATCAGCCCTCTCTGAGGAAGAAGAAGAGGGAGAAAGTGATAATAATAAAAAAAGAGGGGAGTGGGAGGCAAAATGAAAAGGGGAGGCTTGCCTATCACTAGTTTGGCCTTGTGGGGAGGCTTGCCTATCACTTGTTTGGCCCCAAGAGATTGCCTATAAGGAAATGTAATTCTTGATATAAAAAGGATCTTCTAACCCTGCCTTAATCTAACATGCTGAGTTGATACGTATCATCATTCTTACAGTCTATCGTTACTTATTTTCTATAATTGATCCAGCTTTTTTTCATACACTTCCATGGCTGACAAATTGGATAAGAATCATTCTGGCTCATCAAGATATTTTTTCGATGGAATGGGAATTGCTCACCTTCATACTGATTGCCCCATCCTGTAATGACACAAATCCTTGAAGGTTCAATCTTCTCGTCTTGCTCCGGGAGGCACACTGGATGAACATAGTGATTGAATTCTAAAGGCTCGGTAAGTTCCACTAGAGCAATGTCTGAATCCAGAGTACTGGTGTTAAAATCTGGATGTGCGATGTACTGCTTCACCAATCTTTTCTATACACGTGGGAAAATCATGGCAGCATGTTATGTGAGAATATATGCTCATATATATTGGATATGCTTGTCAACTTGGGTGCATTCCAGTTGATCTGTCATCGATACAGCAGAGTTCAATATAGGTAGTCCTTAACTTACAACCACACTTGGGACCAGAATTTCTGTTGCTAAGTAGGATGGTTGTTAAGTGTCTCATGCCTGATTTTGTAATGTTTTATTTTGCCACAGTTGTTAACGCAAATCACTGCAACGAAGTGATTCACACATTTGTTAAGCAAATATGTTTCCCCAATTGACTTTGTTTGCTGGGAGCCAGCTGGGAAGGTCACAAATGGTTTTCAAGTGACCCCAAAATGCTATAACCATTGTAAATACACACTAGTTACCAAAGCGCCTGAATTCTGATCACATGACTGTGGGAATGGTGCGACAGTTATGTGACATAAGTCCTAAATCCCTTTTTCAGTGTCGTCGTAACTTTAAACCAGGGGTTGTCAAACCTAATCGCATTGTGGGCCGCATTTTGCCCTTTGCAGGGCTAGGGTGGGCGTGGCCTATGCAAGCATGTTTGGCATGCCTGCTTTAAACAGTCTCTAAACAAATGTTTGTAAGTCATAGATTATCTATTGCCATTTAGAAAGAAATCTTTTCTTTTCATGAGAGGCAAGAGCCTGTGATAGAATAAGATAGGTAAAATAGTAATCCACTATAGAAATTCAGTGCAAAGCAGGCCATATCATAAAAAAGCATAACACTTTCATGAAAACCTCTTGCTTGCTTGAGACTTCTACCTTGTTACTTATTTATTTATTTATTTTGATTTGTCAATTGCTTACAAGATAATAGGTATAAGTAAAAACATAGTTATGAATACATGAATACATGGATACATATAAGAAAAATATTAAAAAATATAAAAGAAACAATAGGACAGGGACGGTAGGCACATTAGTCCGCTTATGCACGCCCCCTACAAACCTCTTAGGAAAGGGGTGAGGTCAATAGTAGACAGTCTAAGGTTAAAGTTTTTATTTTGGCAATAAACAGGCCTAAAATAAAGCTGGACTTAAGATTGTCAAAAAATAATAATAGCAAATTTACAAATTGGAGACTGGATTGTGTTGGAATATTGAGGTTCGAAAAACCCTAAATAATAAAACAGGGGGGAAAAGGTGAAGACTTTGCATAACGGAGAGTGCCATCTTCTGACAAAAACTTAAACTCAAACAAAAGGGAAATCATCCTGTTTCTGTATGAACTTACGTCGATATAATGTTAAAGAAATATTGAAACAAAGTAAGAATTTTAGAAAGTGAAAACGGAACCAGAATAAAGAAAGAAGCAAGGAGAGAATGACTGTGGGATTGATTGATGTTTTTGGTATAGACCCTGGGTTGGACCAATTGAGAACTTTAGAAAACTTGAAGAAGAAAGAAGGAAAGTAAAAGTGTTTTTTGTGGACTTCAACAATTATAAAATATAAGAGTGTGTAATGATGATATCTCTTCAGGAATTAAAAATGGAACTTAAAAATATGAGAGAATTACTACAGGAAAGAGGTGAATCACTTTGCTCTGTGTTAGAAGAAATGGAAATGGCGATTGAAGAACAAGAAGAAAGAGCTTCAGAGGAGGAGGAGTCGACTCAAGGAGAAGCCATCTTAAATAGACAATTAACACAAAGAACGCTACAAAGACAAGGGGAAAGAAGGAAGGTTAAAAAGTTGAGATTTAAGAAGATAATCAAAAAGGGGAATACCTGTGAAATCAGGAAAGGTAGAAAGGTGCAGCAGAAAAGGGGAAAATAAGATATCAAGAAAGAGAGGGATATAAACTGGAATGAGAAAAGATATGGGAAAAAGAGGGGGAGGAGAGGCAGTAAGAAACAGGTGCAGGAAATAAAGAAACATGGAAAAAGTAAAATGATGAAAAGAAATTGTTTTTTCAGAGATAATGGTTGATGAATTAAAAAGGGGATTCTGCAGGGTGACAAGGGATAACAAGAATATATTTGCTATTTAAAATATTTAGAAAATAGGGTAATATAGATTATTAAAGGAGGGATAGATACTGATAAATTCTTATTAGATGAATATTCATTTTTATTTTTATCCTTAAAAGAAAAGTTAAGGTCTATTGAAGAAATTGTAATAATTGAAATGAATGTGAAGATGTTTAAAAATGAGGTCAATATCAGTGACCAGGAATTGAATAGTCAATCTTTCCCTTTTACCTCTTTGAAATTAGAAATAAAATCAAGGGGGAAAAATATATTGCGGAATCCAAATGAAAAGACGTAATGATTATTATTGTAATTACTTAAAAATAAAGGTTTATTGGGAATTAAGATGAGGGAATAAAGGTATATTTTAACTACTGAGGTGTCACACTCAAAGCAGTAAAAGGGGGGAAACCTATGCTTGTTTCTTTTTCTTTTGTGTTAAAACTCATATTAATCTAGAATTTATAGAAAGAATGTGTGATGGAAAGAAAATATGACAGATTAAAGAACTATTTAAATTAATAAGCTAATACAGACTATTAAAAGGAAGGAGAGACATTGGTAACATTTTTTTATTAGGCAAACATATATTGTTATTTTTGTTTTTAAAATAAATATCAAAGGATTATATTTGAAATAATTGAAATGAAACGAAAGGATGTTTGGATTGAGATCAATGTAAGAGACTAGGATTAATTTGCTTGTTTCTCTCCTTTCTGAAAGTTTGGAATGGAGAAGGTAATAATAGAATTAAGTATGCATATATGAATGTGTTGTGACTCAGAGGTTTGAACCTGCTTTGTCAGAAGACATAGGCTCGAGTGATGAGGAAGATATGGCATTAAGATTTGAGCCTGCCTTGTTGAGTGACACAAATGAGAGTCA